AACTGTGCCAACTCCAACCCTAAAACAGATGCAAATGCAGACGAAATAAATGAATAAGATACACTTGTATCAATCAACACATTAACAACCGAGTTGTAAAACTAAAATGTACCTCTCACTACTGATGGGGTCGGTACAAGATCTGGCGCAGTAACAACATACACACGCCCCATAGGTCTCTGATCTATCTGCTCACCTCTTGGAGCATAAGACTGTTGCATTGACTGAGCCGAAGAGGCTCCTGATTGGCCCTCAAGACCTGTACTGACTGAGCTGGTTGGTGACACTGTGTTTGCCTTGAACAAGACGCACCAGGTGTGCCATCCAACTGTGGGAAAAACCTCTTTAAATACCCCGCCTACCCACACTGATAACAAGTGAGTGGCTGGCCTTTGCCTTGACTCTGGCCCTGAAAACGAGCCGAAGATGAAATTGTGTTTGTGTTTGTGTTTTTAAATAAATAAAATGAGAGAAAAGAAAGTCAAGAAGAAGATAAGATAAAGAGAAATTGTGTTTGTGTTTGTGTTTTTTTTTTAAAAAAATGAAATTCCAAAAATTCTTTCAAAATAATCTTAAGCCATGTCCATTTTTGACATTGAAGACAATTTGTAACGCCTTCAAATTATGATATAACCAACAATTCATAAAATCTATAGACATACTAGAAATGTTATATTCTCATTCATCAGAGTCTTGAAACTATAACATTACACTTTCATCAATGTTCATCTTGAAACTATAGCATGTAACTCTAATTATTAACAGTAAAAATAAGTGCCCTACGGGCTTACATCTTTCCAAGTTATCACTTGGTTAAAACAAAGGAAGAGTCCTAGCTCTATACATATAAAGCCCTCGGCTTGAATTTACATTAAACACAAAACAAAATATGCAAAATATGCAAAATGGAGCCTTCAGCCCCTAAACCTCCCCAAGCTATGTCTTTGGAGGCGGCATGTCACCTGTACCTGAAAATGGTTTCGCAAGTAGGGTGAGCCAAAGCCCAATAGAGATATGCTAAACAATATATGAGAATTAACTAAGCTATTAGCATCAGATAAATGTTCAATACTAGTAAACCAATTTACACATTTTTCATGACCAATCAATATCGACATCCGTATTTCAGTCAATTTCTATTTATTTATCCAAATCAATTCATTGACATAGTTTATTGCTATCTAAACAATTCAAAACGAGACTACAACTCATTTATCAACATTTCAATAACAAACATTATTCAACACTTCCATTTTCTTGTCATTTCACAGAATCACATCCGAGGGAACCGGCACCCATATACGCATCATTTTGGGACTTTCACCCTGGACACTCCGGCCAACTTAATTATCAATGGAGTCCATCCCCTATCTCCTCCCAAATAATGAAATACATCCCCTATCTTCTCCAAAACAACAATACATATACAATGTATTTAAAAGCATGTCATATACAATGACTACTAAAATTCACATATTCAACAATTTAATCAATCCGTCATATTCAATGACAATATTCACATGACTAGTTCCAATTTACCTAGTCCTCATGCAGTTTGTACAACAATCATAACTATCCTCCACCGATAGCCCAAAACAGATATTTTCTAAACAGATAAACAAATCTATCAACAGATAAATTATCAAATCTTTCATAGGTGTGTGATTTATCAAACCAAACTACACCATTCAATCACATATTCCCCCAATTTCATAATTTCCAAACCAATTTCATTATTTACACAAATAGTTATTTCAACTCAACTTAGGGCAATTTTCCCTTTATTCCAAAACATCAACCCATAGGTCCAAATCTCACTATTTTAACAATAAAGAATCTCATACACAAACCCCCCAAGGTTACTTTGTAAATCAACATGAAAACCCCTCTTTAGTTAGAGCCTAAACCATAACTTTTACCCAAATCACTCCATTTATACAAATGACAAATGTCTAGGTTAAAACCCATATCAAAGAGTATAATATCTTTACCTCAAGTGTAGAAGCTCAAAGAAGAAGAAGGGAGAAACTTTGAAATGGCCAAACTCTACCTTTTTGGATCAAGTGGAAGCCCACGCAAAACTCTACCTTTTTAACAAAGGGACTAGGGTAAAAACTCTTAGATTCTAAGGGATTTGTAGAGAGAAGTTGGACTTTTAGAGAGAGAGATAGTCAATGTAGGGTTTTTAGCAAAAAGAGATTAAAAAAGTGATGTAAAACTCTTCTGCTGCGAATTGATATACGCAATCCTCGCTCAAGCGAAGGAGTTGTCGCTTGAGCGACCAGATACAACAAATGACCTCGCTCCAGCGCAAGAAGCGTCGTTCGAGTGCAGAATGTAAAGCTTCAGGTCTGCCATAAACGCAGATGCACGCTTAATTCAGGTCTGCCATAAACGCAGATGCACGCTTAAGCGCAAGAAGCCTCGCTCGAGCGCAAGAAGCCTCGCTCGAGCGAAGAGCTTCCCACTCTCCAGAAAAGCTGCGTCTGGAAGGAAACCTAAGAACTCTCGATTCTCACTCGAGCAAAAGAAGCCTCGCTCGAGTAAAGAAGCAGATTACACAAGGTTTGCTTGAGCGCAAGAAGCCTCGCTCAAGCAAATAAGCCAAAATCTAGGCAACAACATTCTAGACCAACTTACAACCAGCTTGTTCCAAATACGCCCAACATAATCCAAAACTCAAATACAAATAGTCAAAAGAAAATAACAAGACAAGGATACGATATTCATCCACGAAACCTAAGTCCGGGACACAAAGAAGGTTGGCGCAAAACCGGGATTGCTATACAATCTTATACTATTATTTTCATTTTTGTTATTCAATATATTAATATGGATTTTTCAATTGAGCTTTGCCCATTGAATTGGAGGAATCACAAATTTTTTAGTTTAAAAATTAAAAAGTTACTAAAAAAATTAAAAAACTTACCATTTTATTCTACCAACTTATTTATAAATTTCAAATCACATAGTGTATGATTGTTCAAACCTATCCTACAAACCTATCCATGAGTAATTTTTTCGAATAAAAAAATGGTGAAGTCCAATACTTATGATTGATCACAACACTATGTTTCCCACTCTATTAGGGATAACAATTTGAACCTGATTCGATGAGGACCGGACCCTCAAACCTTGATTAGAACATTTTTTTCTCGAAAAATACTCCGACGAGCCGGGGATAGTATTCGAAAATGAATCCTTGACAATTTTCGAGCTGGGGACAGTGATAGGTTCCCTGGCCCCAACCCCGGCCCATCCCCGTCCCCAACATTGTCCCCGTTTCTGCCTCGAACTCAAATTACTATTATACCCGTATATATATATATGTGTGTGTGTGTGTATGTGTGTTTCTCTAGGGATTGTTTGACTCACTGTAGGATTTAGGTAATAATGTTGGTTGTGCATGCTACTTTGCAAAATTCACAAGTGATTTTTTTATTTTTTTTGTAAAGCAAAAAATAGGTGTTGTTTGGATTGATTATTTATTTATTTATTTTTTTTTGGGTGGTGTGGATGTTGTTTTGTATCTTGTTTGTTTTCTTGTTATTGTTTGGATATTTATGTTTGGACATTATTGGATTATGCTTTTATATATATTATTTTTATTTGTTTAAAAAAAAATGAGATATGCAAAATTCAAAAAAAAAAAAAAAAAGTCGGGGATTTTTCGGGGTCAGGGAGACCCAATCCCTATTGGGGGCAGGGGTGATGGGTTCCCCGTCGGGAATCGGGGGCGGAGACGGGAAATTTTATACCTTCGGAGATCAGGAACGGGAAGTGTAATTCCCGGCCTCGGCCTATTGCCATTCTTACACTACATACATCCTATTAACCAGCGTGCCGTGTCACTTTACCTGACAATAGGTCAAGTGAATTGAAACTCACATATTGAATGATAAGCCTTGTCAAAGGGCAAAAATGTCAATTTAGCAATTTTTTTTTTTATAAATTATTTCTGTCCATATATTTTTGTAAAAAGTCAAAAAATTATTTCTAAATATATTAATTTTTTTAAGATTATATTTTAATTAAAAAATTATTAAAATAATCTGTTTCCAAACGATAGGTTCATCTCTTTCATCTTTGTTACATATTTTAGGATTGACTTGGGTCATGGACTTTGAGTTTTTATTTATTTGATTTTAATTAGGCTTGATAATAGATGATGGGGTAGGTTAGTTGAACTTCTCTATCATAGAAATTATCCATCTTATCGGTTGGCAAAAATTTTTTAGTTATAGTTTTTTGAATTAGGGATTTTTTTTAGTTTGGTACTCAAAATATTTTATTTGGGTTATTTTTATTTTTATTTTTTAATTTTTTAAACTTTTATGAGAGAAAAATAAAATAGTTATGATTTAGATGTGATATTTTATTTTATTAATTTATTTAACATATTTTATTTTTTGTACTTTTTTAATCCCAACCAACTATCTTCAATGGTTTATCAAATTCATCATTAAATTTAAATTTGATGAAAAAAATTACTTTTTGCTCTTTAAATGATTAATCAAATCTATCATCAAATTTAAGATTTCACTTTTCTTTCATCAAACTGAAGATCAATGTGCCTTTCATTAAATTACTGTTCATTACCGTTGGATTTTCACCATCGGATGACCATCTCAAGGTAAAAATTTGTGAAAAAATTATATTGGCCGATCGATTACAAAACTCTCTGCTAGAACACTTGATATCAAATAAATTTTTTATTCAAATTTAATGAAAAAATTGATATACCGTTAGAAATGTCCTTAGTTGGCCGTAGCCAAATGAATCTTGTAAATGTTATAAGAAGTTTGTGTAATTTCTCAAACAAATGGGCTGAACTATAATTTCTCCAATTTGTAAGGAGATTAGTATAATATGCTTAATTATAAATAAATAATAATAATAATAAAAAAAAAACCGAACCAAACCCCACACCTATGTGAGACATTTGGTCATTTGTTTGGTAGAAAATTTGGTGTCCCTAGCATTACCCATTTTGAAAAGAGTTGGAGTGCGCAACGCGCATACGCCACATATATATATATATATATATAATCAGATAATCAACGAAGTTTGTAGAGAGAGAGAGAGAAGCTGAGTACAAAATTCACTGCTCGAGCTCGACGGGTTTCGATCTGTTGTGAGACAGGTATGCATGTCTTTTCTCAATCTTTATAATGTCTAGGGTTTCGTTAATTACACAAATCTTCCGTCTAGGGTTTCCTTCAAAGTCCATGGATTTATTATTTTCAATGGTGTTTTTTGTTTTCTTTTCTTTCTATGTTGGTATCAATTTGACCAAAGTCTGAGGCGTTTGTGCAGCGACTAGAGTTTGGGTGTTGGAGATTGATGGGTAGTTTCATAGATCGAACCTGATTCTCGGTCTGATTGCGTATATATGTACACACACACACACATATATATTTTGAGGCGTAGTTGGTCTAGGGTTGAGACTTAATATGCCGTGAAATATGTTATTGACTTAATATGCTGTGAAAAATGCTATTTTGTGGTCCAGTTTCCGCAAGTTTTACCTGGAAATTTAGCTAATTGGGGGAAAATTAATGCAAATATTTTCCTTTGAATCAAACAGCGGTCTCATCTCAGAGATGTTTTTTATTTAATTTCTTTTAAAGATCTTTGCTTTTACCCTTTTCTAGATTTCTTTATTTTTATTTATTTATTTTGTAACATCCATGTTTGGAATTTTGCAGATTTTCTTGGGTAGTGTGTTTCTTATCTCGGGAGTTTTGTAAGTTTGCAATTTGAAGCAGTAAGCCTTCTTGCATAAGGTAAGAAAGCCGACTCAGATTTCTACTGTTCCTTTACTTTTTGGATGATGAAAGTGCATTAAAAATTGTTATTATCATCTAAGTTTTCTTGAATTATGTAGATGTATTTAGAATCTATTAGTTTACTTAATTAAATATAAGAGCCATCTTGTGGAATAGAAAAATAATGTTAATGGTGAAAGCTTGACTTATCTACACTGGCATATTGCTCTTAGGGTACTTTTAATTCACGAGAACATAACTTAGGCATTGCACATAGTGCGGTGGTTCTTGATGTTTAATGTATACTTCCGAAATTTTAGTTTTGAGTGTTGGTGGCTTTGTGTTGAGAGGGGTAAGGGGGCAAAAATGATTTTTGATTTGAGGTTTTTCCATCATATTCTTAGTGATTTGGGCTACTTTAAACATAAGATACTTGACAAAATTGTATCACTTTTGCAAGGCCATTATGAATTATGTTTCTACAGCTTGAAGAATGCAAATGGAGTCCCATTTGCGTTCTATTCTATTCTTCTTCCCCTCTCATGTGACTTTTAAGGCTAAGAACCTTGCATCAATGGCCCATATCTACAAAAGGTTGATGTGTTGTGATCTCTACCGCATACAATCTCAACACATGTAGTTGGCATTTGGGGTTGAGTGATATAATTAAAATGTAGCATCTGCTGCTTTAAGTTTTTCAGCCCTAATTAGAACACAACAAAATTTTTTATACTTTCTTCCAAAAGGCTTCATAAAATGGCATGAACAACATTTTAGTGGTTTGCAATCTAATTTCCATTTGCAAAAAAAAATTGGGGGAATTACATTGACCTCCTTTAAGATATTTGACAATTGCAAAGTCCTCCCATGTGTTTTGTGAATTAACATCGATATACCCCTTATAATTTCTGTGCAACTGTTTTTGAGAGGTGATTAATGTCCTTTGGTGTAGAAGTGTGAACATTGAAATGCCTAGAGATCACCTGTGTGCTTTTTTTGTGTGCTCATCATCTTGCTAGAGTTGTGTTGTGTGGAGATGTCGAACAAAATTCATTACTTATTTATGGGTTGGATTGATGTAATGAAAAATACAAACTGACTTTGAGACCCCCACAAAAGTTTTATCTGGTTGCTCTAATTTTGTTCTTGTCAAGGCTTTTAGTGCACAGAGTGCAACTTCTTGCTTTATAGAGGAGATGTGTACAAGAATCTTACCATTGCATCAGATGCATTTTGTTTTGTTTTTTGTGAATGCTTATTTTAGTTCTTATCGCATTATTATCCAAAATATGCTACTTCAATTGTTTGGAATACTGGTACAAATGTTAGTTATAAACATGGTTTTTAAAAGACATTTTAGGCTGTCATGGTTATATTTTTGCAATGGAGTTTCATGATGGAAGAACTAACATTATTTCCTTCTCTTCTTTGAGATGTACTTCTGGTCATCATCATACCAAAATGCAGGTTTTGAGTTGGTTTTTTCATCCAAATGGACTGCAAGAAATTTATGCAGATGGTCGAGGAGAAAAAGAAGAGAGTCATGGAGAGGAAAGAAGCCCCCTTGAAATGGGAGCAGAAGCTTGAAGCTGCTGGAAAGGCAAAAGCCGAGGCTGAAGCCAAGGAGAAGAAGCTGAAGGCTGCAAAGCATAAGCGTAGGTCTGTGTCATGGTCTGGTAGTGATAGTGACAGTGACAGCAGTGAGAATGACCGAAAGGCATTGAAGAGGTCCCACAAAAAGCATAAGAAACACAGCCATTCTGACTCTGGTGACAATGAGAAGAGGAAGGAGAAGAAATCCAAGCAAAAACGAAGGAGACGAACCTCTGGCTCTAGTGATGGGTATGATAGTGACTCAGAAGAAGAGAGGAGAAAGAAGCGGGTCCACAGGAAGCATAGGCGTCATGGTTCAAGTTTGGATTCTGGTGATTCAGATTCAAGTGACGATGATGGTGCAGCGAGAAGAAGAAGAAATCATGCAAAGCATCACAAGCGTCATCGGCGGTCACATTCTATTGGTTTGGATTCTTTAAGCGATGAGGATACCAAAGCAATCAGACGGAGAAGTCAGACACAGCATCACAAACGGCATAGGCGGTCAGAATCAGATTTGGGTGACAATGACAGTGATGCTATCAGAAGGAAAAGTCATGTAAAGCCCCACAAACTTCATCATCGATCTCATAGTCATGACTTGACCTCCTCAGAATCTGATGACCGCAGGTGGGATCGTAGGAGCCGATCTTTGGGAAAGTCATCGGATGATGACAACGGAGAATCGGGCAAAAGAGGAAAGCACAAAAGCAATCATCACCACCACCATCGCCACCATCATCACAGGCATCAGCAGCAAAAGTCAGATGAACAGGAGCACCAGAGGAATAGTGAGCTTCCACAGGTGAGAGAAGTGAATGGAAAGCACGTGGACGATGGTTCACATACAGCTGTAAACCTGAGCAAGAATGGTGGCGCTAATAACCCACAAAACGTTTAGATGGAACTTCAATTTATTCAGGAATTCATTGCACATCCTCTGCTGTGTTTTATTTATGGGTTTAGGTGATTGGAGCTCATGCTTCGACAAAAAATGTTTCTGTGATTGACCTTGAATTTTGAGGAGGCTTTGCTGGGTTATTTTGAAGGAACTGCAATATTGATGACTGAATCTCATTGATTTTGTTTTACATTTCAGTTTGAATGCTAACTGTTATTTGCAGAATTTTTTTTTTTTTTTTTGTGCGCGCATGGTTGCGCTGTGTCATGTGCTTCCAATGACAGATGCTACATTGTTGATAGATTGGAAACTGGGGGTTGTATTGCATGCAATTTTGTTTAGATGATTTCATTGTACTTTGGTCTTGAATAGAGCTTGCTGCTGGGGATATTCACATGTATTTGTATTGCTTCTATTGTTTTTTGGTCGTCAATCAATCATCTCCAAACAATGCTAAGAAATTAAACAATTCCATGAAAATGAACAAGAGCTTTCAAAAATGCAAATTTGAACAGATAGGAGAGATGACTTTTGAAGCCGCTGTCAATTATAGAAGATGGGCCATGTCCTTTGGCAATTATGAATGAATACAAATATATGGAGTGTGGCTGGTTTCCTGTCAGAATTGAAGACACAATGTACAAGGAAAAATTACTTCGGGCCAATTTCCGGGTATGGAGTCCTTCACGATTAGCATGTTTCTCTTCTGTTTCAGTTGAGGCCTTGTAGATCACTGAAAAATCAACTATAATTGAGATGTATGATATGGCTGCTGGAGGCAATCTTCAAAGACAGCTCCAGTGTGTATAAGAACCTCGGAAATAGCAAAATTGGTCTTATTTTGTGTTTCCAAGCCGAGAAACTTTGACACTCAGCATCACAGAATGAATAGATATAGATCCATAGCAACTTCTACTCGACAATAATACAACTATGAAACCCGAGAATGGGGTTGTCAGAAGTTCTTCAATATCTTCTCACTTGAAATTCCATCAGCTACAAGAAGCGAAGTAACTTCCTGCAAGAACCAGTTATTGTAACTGTTAATATTCCTCATTCTGATTTCAACAAACATGATTCTTCATATATTTTCTACTTCTCCACATTGCAGAATAATGAAGATGCTTCCTATATAAGATATAAATTCATACATATATACATACTAGCGGTGGGTGCAAACACGATGCATTTGCATTTAAAGTTTTGGATATCTAGATGATTGAGGGGCACTTTGATGAATGAGCAAAGTGTCATTCTTTGGATGTGGTAGTTATTAGATTATTAGACGTGAAGGGCACTTTTGGAAGGGAAAAAAAAAAGTGACAGCCTACACACCAAATGACCCAAAGATACAAATTGGTTGAGTTATTTAGTGACAGCAGTCCATTTTAAGAGTAACTGATCCCCAAAAACAGATTTTAATACTTGATTTCTTCTGCCTACAACATCCGAGGAGATTTTAGTTTGGGATGACTTTTTAGCTAATTACGAAAAGATGTGCAAAAAGTAGAGAGAAAAGAGAATCTTTGACTTTTTGGTATGAATTGTTGGCTTTTTGGCTAAAAGGGTAACTTTTTGACTTTTTGGCTAAAAAGGTAAGTCCCCAAACGGGGCCTTAGTGACAGCAGTCCATTTTAAGAGTAACTGATCCCCAAAAACAGATTTTAATACTTGATTTCTTCTGCCTACAACATCCGAGGAGATTTTACTTGCAACCATTTGTGAAGGGTTGGACAACATGGTCAAAACTCCATTCACTTGATCTCATTGCTTAATCTTCTAATCCTTTCAATATTCTTCTTAACCTTTCACATGCACCATACTAATGGCCCCTCATGCAGCCAGAAATCTAGTAGTTTCACTTCTACACTTTGCCACTCACTCATCAGCTTCAATTTCCTCATGTAAGCTATGCTATCCCATGTAGAGTATATGACAGCATGTACAAGCAAAGCACCTCTAAAACAGCAGCTAGGAAGTCTTACAAAATTGCGATGAATATCTATCTTCCTACAACTATTGTTGTTTATTCTGTCAGACAACTTGTGGCAAATTATTTTTACAGGTTTGTATCTCCACAGAGGAAAGAGCAAACTTCTGTTACAGCAGGCAACCCAGACCCGACTTAATGATGGTCACACAAAGGATCGCATGAGACCACTTAAATTATGAGTCAGGGGAAGAAGCCCTAAAATACCTTTTGTGCTATCTTTAAAAAAAATAAAAAATAAAATAAAAAAACCTGTAATTCACAAATGTCTGAGATTAAAAACTGAATCCTAAACTCGTCAATTAAAACCAATCATATCTACCCTAACCAGACTAACAACAAAGTAAAAACAAACAAAACAAGACTGAAATACAGTAAGCATCACAGCACCAAACATGCAATGATTGTCAACATTTTCTGAGGTCTGATAGCACGAAGCATGCTGTTTTACGATAAAACCGTTAACAGGAAAAGGTAGTAATCATAATAAATAAAAATCCAGGAAAAACTTTAAATAGAGTAATCATTGACTGAAAGAAATTGAATAGCACATGAAATTGACAAACCTCAGACATCTGTTTCTGTCCACAGAGCACAGCACCTGTGGCCTGGGGACTATAAATTTTTTTGGCTCTTGCAAAAGCAGCCTGGAAAAGTAACAGTTTCAAAAAAAAAAAAAAAATTTAAAAAATGAAGTTGCTTCTTAGAGATGTCAAATTCAACTTTAAGTATGCATACAAATTGAACACACATGCACTGCCTACCTGTACATAACCATGTTCACCAGTCCAATTATCATCAGGTTGTGATAATACTGGAACAATTTTAACACCTGAAGATTCCCAATCTTTGAACCTATCCTATTAAAGAAGGCAGAAACATAAACTTCAATATTAACTCTGATCAAGCAGGCAATGGTGGTTGATTATGCATAAATGGACATTATGAAAATGTAACTTGAATAGCAAGCCACTGAATGAAACCTGATAAGCCATTCTTTGAAGGTTTCTAGCCCCATAATAGAGTCTCACATCAGGTCTCTTATCGGCACTGAATCCTGACTCAATCAAAGACCGGATTGGGCTGCATGCAGTAAGGTATAGTGAAAACAGTGAATAAGAGAATACATCATGAAAACCTGCAACAAGCGCACACGAAAACTATAATCTACGCTTGCTTATGTGTGTGCTATCTTAAAAAATTTTCACACAAAAAATGGCCTCATTCCACCAAGCCCAGATGCAAAATAATGCATATAATCAGCCAATCACACATTGCACTGCACTAAATGAAGTCAAAGCCTTACGCGCAAAAGATTGGAATCAAATCCAAGTGAAGAGAATAAGAACATTTAAAAGATTCATCAGTGGGATATAATCATTGATAATCAATGTAGAAATCAACATGCAATTAGGTTATGTGGTTTTTATATTGCATGCAGTCAGAACTGTGATGAAAAAGCAAGAGCTGTAATTTCAGAACCCATCACAGTGGCTGAAGGGCATCTTGGCTTGAAAGAAGATAGGACTCAGAGCTGCAACAGTAGTGTGGTAGGTTGTAAATCGAGTCAGGAACCAACTTTACGAAGATTCCACACGGAGATCATAAAGGAGAACTAACTGAGAGTTTTGAGGTTTCAGTTTCACATCTCACTAACGTTAATATGATCACAGGAATTACTTTCATTCCTTTGATTCAAAAAAAATTTCTCATCACAAGTGGCTATGCAAACAAGAAGCAAGATGTAACCCTTGTGCAAATTAGTGCTTCCAGTAAAAATGAACTTGAGACAGATCCCTGTAGGCTTCAAAGATGTTAGAGTTAAAAACAAGGGTGGCATGGAGAAAACAGATTCTAGGTTCAACCACCTCATACCTTCTGCAGTACACTTTAACAAGGTGACAAAGCATGTGTGGTTACGTTTGTAAGGGGGCAGCCATCTTTCTCCAGGCCTAGGTGACATATTGAATTTGCTCCCAGCAGAGATTATCATTTGCAGTGAAATCAGTGTGTGACTTGGGGTACAGAGATTCGAGAGAAGACTAGTCAATGTATGAGAATTTGAATAGGGATTGTTCTTCTTGGTGGGAGGGATACCCTTTTTCCTTGGAAGGCCATTTGGGGGACTAAAGTCTAAAGCCCCCTCCAAGGTGGCTTTTTTCGTCTGGACTGCGACGTTGGGGAAGATTCGAACCACAGATAATTTTTTTTTGAATTGTCGTTGTATGTGCAGGGAAGAAAGTAAATCAGTGGACCATCTTCTTATTCATTGTGAGGTGGCCAGAGTGCTTTGGTCATTGTTTCTTGTATTGTTTGGTGTGACTTAGGTGTACCCTCGGTTTCAGAGTTACTTTCTTGGAGGGAAGCTAGAGTTAGTAAGAGGAGGAGGAGATGTTGGTGTTTAGGTCCTTTGGGTCTTACATGGACCATCAAGGAGAGCATAATAGAACATCATTTGATGGAGTAAGACTCCAATTTTCATTTTCAAAGTAGAATATTGACTATTTTATATAGTTGGTTCTCGGGTGGGGTTAAACCATTATTGGACCAATTTTTAGATTTTGTAGAGCATTTAGTTTATTTTGATGTGTATCAGTTTTTGTAAATGGAAGGCACCCCCTTGGTGCTCCTTTTTGAATGATACTTACACTATTACTGATAAAAAAAAGAGTTTATTTTAATTACAACTACATTCACCAACAAGATCACATACTTCGTTATAATTTATAGAAAGCAAAATGCACGCATGTCAAAGTATTTCGTAACTTGTTATCTCTCTCCCTCTCTCTCAAATGGATTTGCTTTTCATCTGTACACTTTTATGTATGTAATTCCTCAGTGCTTGCTGGATAAGAGTATCAAGTTGAAAAGTGCCTGTCAAACCAATCCTTAATTTGAACTTACTAAAATTTTATATATCATTGGATCACAAAGTACTAGACCACAAACTAAATGTGATACTCCAGGAAACCAATCTTCTTAATAAAAGTCTGTTTTTTAAAAAACTTACTTAAATTGGAGGGGACTTTTACAACTTATTTTTCAAGCTAAGCAAAAACATAGTTGACAAACACCCTTTTTAAAAAAAATAAAATAAATGTGCTTAGCAACCATGCTTTCTCTAGACTTGTACTACCAAACTTCCACTTCAAATCAAGCTGACTTCCATTTCAAAATAAAAAAATTTGATTTTGAAGCATGTTTAGCAAGCTCACTTCCACATGCCTTGGGAAATAAGTTCCAAAACACCCATTTGATTTAAATAAATTTTTAAATAAACATGTCTTAAGAAGCTACAAAACCATGGGAATCCTTCAAAAGAGAGAGCTCCTCATTATATGAAAAACTTTGCTATTTCTATCTTCTCAAATTAACTTAAAAATATCAAATGGAACTGTTTTCAAGAGGATCAGCTTCTACTAGCAAACTATGCTTCCACTTCTACATTGCTCCTGCTGTGAATTTTTCTATTCTGCTTTTCAGGAAGCTATTATGATTTTGTCACTTTCTGTACTCTACATATGCATAGATGATTCATATGTTCCATAAAGAAATTCTATTAGCTTAATTATCATAATTTGAAATCAAATCACAAAATAGGAATTATTAAGTGATGATTACAATTCATTCACACGAATTCATAAAGAACTGAATTGAAGGTTCACCTAATTCCAGATCCAGTAGCGAAGATCAGAACAGTCGGAAATTCCTCAGGCGGCGAGATTTGATCTAGATCGAAGCCTCTCCCCATAACCTGACTCAACTCAACAAAATCCCCTTTCCCGAGCCCGCAGAGCAGCTCCGCCGTAGATCCAGCAATGCTCTTCACCAAGAACTCGAACTCGCCTCTAGCCGCCGCCAACGACGGCGGAGACGCGATGGCGAGGAACGAAGGCTTCTCGACGTCCGGCAGCCGGAGCTGGAGGTACTGCCCCGCGACGGTGTGGGAGGAGACGAGGTCGGGGGACTCAGAGATGTCGATGGTGACGTGGAAGAGGGACTCGGCAGCGGGTTTGACAGCAGCGAGAGGTGCTGGGGTCCAGACGGTGGTGTCTTGGCGGAGCGCGGCGGCTGCGATGGAGGATAGGCGGCGGCGGCGGTGGTGGTGGAGGGTTAGGTGGCGCAGGATAGCCATAGGAGGGAAGTATAGGGTGCGGTGGGTCACATGGGAAGGGAGGTGGAGAAGAGAGAGAGGAGGTGGAGGAGACAGAGTGAGAGTAGTCATGTGGGTTTAGGGTTGTTGAGTATGAATGAAATGAATATTCCACTTGGATTGGTTCGTGGAAGCAGTCCAGAGAGCGCCGCCGCTAACAGTGCGGGGTGGAGGTGCTGACAAACTGCCGTCCGTTATAATGTGCACGTGAGGATTCCTTAGCTATCCTATCCACGCGTTCCATATCCATCTTAGACCGAATCAATTCTGGCATCAAATTTAAAATTTGGTAAAAAAATTACTTTTTTAAGTTCCAATGATTTCACCAAATCGATATCAAATCCAGAATTCAGTAAAAATGGTATCAAACTGAGTGCAAGCGAAGCATTTCACTAAATCACTGTTTCTAACCGTTGGGATGAGACGAACGAGTCAACCATCTGGTTGACCAACCGGTTAACCAACCGATCGCCCCGGAGAAAGTTCAGACCATTCACAAAAAGGTTCAAACCAGTCAAAAAAAAAAATAAAAAATAAAAAAATTTGCCTAGGTGGTCGACCACCCGGTCGACCGGCCGGTTGACCACCCGGTCGACCACCAAAAGTTCAAAAAGTTCAAAAAAAAAAGGTTCAAACCGGTAAAAAAAATAAATAAATAAAATTTGCCGTTACCGGTTGACCGGCCGGTCAACCAACCGGTTGCCCAGCGCAAATTTGATGAAACGGATTTGATGTTGAACCGTTGGAGCGCGAAGTATCAAATTAAGGAAATGACCCCTTTTTGACTCAGATTTGGTGAAACATTTGGTACACCGTTGGAGATGCTCTTATGATCTTGTTTGGACTATAAATGGGTCGGGTCGTTTTTTTATGAGAATAAATTAGCCTCCGTTTGGGAAGTGGGTTGACTTTTTGGCTTTTTGGCTTTTTTGGTTATTTTAGCTTGGGCTTAAAAGCTTGGTTTGGGAAGGGCTTTTTGGCTTTTTGGCTTTTTTGAGTTTTTTTGTGAGAGAAGAATGTAATGATTATGGGTTGGATGTGATGTTTTGTTTGTTATGGCTAAAATAGCCTATTTTGTTTTTTGTGGCTAAAATAGCCAAAAAAGCCTCCAACCCACCTTCCCAAACGGTGCCTTATAAACATATGTTTTGAGATTTATTTAAATTACAAATTATATTGTGTGATTTTAAAAATTACATCACATCTCTTAAAGTTTCTAATTTCATAATAAATAAGGTTTTGTTTGGTTTATTTTTTAGAAAAATTTTTGGAAAAAATTCTCTACAAACAAATTTTCAAGAATAATCAAACCAAACAAATTTTTTCAAAAAAAATCTCAAAAATTTGTTTAATTACCTACTTTTCAAAATCACTCTATTTCTCATACATATCAAATCAATCACTTTTTTTAAAACTCTCTCATCAAAATAATTTTTCAAAATCATTTTTGAAAAAAGACAAATCAAACAAGTTTTCGTACTTTTTATCTCAAAAATTACTCTACAAAAACAAACCAAACAAGGCCTAAGTCTTTTTATTAATAAATTATCAAGTCAATTAACAGTTTTTAATAATATTAAAATTTTATTCTAATTAATAATTCAAATAATTTTGTTATTATATAGGTTAACAGTTAGAAATTTCACTTTTTTAAAATTAATTCTGTTAAATAAAATTTTTTAATAAAAAGATATTTGTAATTTTCAAAATCACAAAGAAATAATTAATATTTTAAATAAATCTCAAAGGATGTATTTATAATTTATCTTTTTTATTAGTTAAAACCTTCAATTTAAAGTTTGGAAAGTGATTTTTTTTTCCCCCCCCTTTTGCTAGGTAGGAAGTGATTTTTTTTGAAGTAGATTTTGAACAATATATATATATATATATAAATAAAAGAATGAAAATAAATCTTTAATACCAACGGGTAGATTTTTGTGAATAGATTTCGAGCTTTTACTCAAGGTTTGAGTTTGATTCTTTATAGTCACTTGTTGGGATCATTTTTTTTTATAGCACTGCCTGCAAATGCTTATGGGTGCTATGAGATAATATGGCCTGGCGATGAGGTTAAAAGAGCATATCTGTTTCACCATTTTTATACCAAAAAGATAAAATAAATCTTTAATTATTTTGTATAACTTTTTAACTTTTTAACTTTTTAATTATATTAATTTGTTTCCAAAGCACGCCTTAAATTCAATATGGTTATTGAGAGGGTAATTTATACCTAAATTGGGCCAAGATGGGTAAATGGGCTGTTCTTTGGGCCACAGTAAGAAGGGTTGGATGAAAGGGAGCTTGTAGTTAGCCTGGTCCTGGTAAGCCTTATTGTTATCCTGGTCCGAAAGAACCTTGAAGTTAGTTCGGTCTAGAGAAGCTTTGCATATAGCCCGGTCACCATACTCAAAGTTAGCGCGGTCATGGCTTATCGTGGGTAGCTCGGTCAGAACCGTGCTATTTGATTAGCTCGGTTTGATCACACCATGGTTTGTACATGGGAAACCGAGATAAGAGCAGTGAAAGAAAGGACCAAACTAGCTATAGTTCGGTCTAGTCTACGGCTTAGCATAGCCATACTTACCTCGGTCATATTGGAATCCGACCATGGTAAAACCATCTCACTTGGTTTAAGCAATGAGGGGGGTGTTGAAGGATAAACATTATCTTTCAGGAGTATGACTCCTAGGAGGACTCTACATGGATGAGTAAAAGTCTTACTAGGATTGTGCCACGCGAAACCTATAAACGCTCACAACATCACCTAAGGAGAGGTAACACAACTTTGACTCTCGAATACACAGAGCTTCGTCTATTTGTCTATTTTTGCTGACTTGGGCATCAGAGAGGTATCCGGCACACACCTGCCGACTAGCTCACGTTTGTGTTTTCAGGGAGTAAAGCGACGACGTACAGAGGAGCGCAGACTTGATCAACAGGATTATACGAGAAGGTTTATTTCTTTCCCGTACAGTTATTGTAACCTTTGAGAAATTATTCTCTAATATATCCAACAACCTTCATTGTTGTTTTCTATTTTAACCTTTGCGAAATTATTCTCTTATATATCCAAAACCCTTCATTGCTATTTGGAAAGTCTAGGAATACAGGATGCATATATGTGAATTCTATAAATGCAAACATGTGCACTTTCTATATTCTTAATGTTAGACAATCTTCACTGTAATTAATTAATTCAGTTTGTGTACTTAACAATAAACAAAATATAAAAGAAATAAAGGAAATGAGAGAATTTGTTTGATTACAAAAAATCAAACTCGAAAATAAATAAATAAAAACAGATTTTATTTTGTTACAAAAATAAAATTAAAATCTGATTTAAATAAATAATAATAACACTGAAAATAAATTAAATAACTTACTTGATTTAATTTCTTCGAATTATAATTTGATCAAGTCCAGTGTTTGACACTGTGTCCTTAAGACAGATTCGTCCTCTCCATGGTGCTTTCAGAATTTGGACGTCTATCTCCCAAGATAAAATGATTTACTACAAACAATAGCAGCACTACAAATTGTTTGCCTAATGAATACACTAAGTGTTTATACTCTCTCTGACAAGAAAATAATGCAGCAAAATGAAGAGGATGTTTGCAGAATTATGAAGGACGAAAATTAGAGTTACAAAATCCAAATGAGGGTTGTCCTATTTATAGATGTAATGGTGGCTGTAGGTTTTGAATTGAATAGGTATGAAACCTGTTGGTTTTGAATTCAAACATATTTGAATCTGTTGGATTACAATTCAAACAGATAACAAAAATGGGAAGGGCCCTGTTTGGGTGTACAGTAAATTCGGACCAGTTTAATTCCGGTTTAAAATCGGGAAATGCCATGTTTGGATGTACAGTAAAACCAAACCAGTTTAATTTTGAATTCTGGATTTTATTTTACCAAAAATAAAATTAAATTCAAATGTTTTTGGCCCAAAAAGATTAATATTGGGCCGAGCAAGCCCAACCCAACCACGCACCCGCGCCCAACCCAGCCCGCCCGGACGGACGGACGGCGGCGCCGCGCGCATGTGTGGTTTTTGAGTCCAATGGGTCTAGCCCATTTTGTCCATAACCTCTCCCTCTAAAACACTTGGGTACCCTTTGGGGCACACCCCAAGTACCAAACCCAAGCCTTATAAACTCATTCAAAACTTCCCAGAAAATCAATGTGGGACAAGCCATTTTACAACCTTAAGGAATTTCCACCAAAACTCAATTTCCATGGAGCACACTTTGGCTTCAATTTCCCATTCACTCGGTAATGGTTTTGAGCAACCAAAAAAAGGAGCAAAAAAAAGGCCATTCCCAAAACACCCATATGCCCACTATTCCATATTTGTAATTGTCTCATGCAAAACTTGAATTAAAAATTTATCACAAGAGAGGTCATCTCCTTCTGTTTGCCCGGTTGGGGTGGAGGATGTTCCCCGGTTGCCTCTAGTGATTGGGACTCGCCTTCCTCTCCGGTGATCATGGACTTGATTACCCGGATCTTCGCCATTTCTTGCTCGGCGGTGAGAGGAACAAGTCTAATCGGTGGTAGGTGAAAGGTGCTT